AATTACTCTATATAATATATTACTCTATGGAAAAAATAAGCGGGATTTTAATAATTTATATCTTTAATACGTATTTATCCTACGTGGCGCGGATTCAACGTGATTTAAACCCTTGCCAAATTCGAAATTTATTTTCGTAATCGAAAAAATTATTATTTGGAGAATTTGGCATAAAATTCGGTCGTGGCGTTAGAATATCATTTGTTAATTATCATTAATTTCCTTTAATTTAAACTTTACTACTTTATTGTACTTGTTTTTTTTTGTTCTGACGACACGAAAAAAAAATGTTTTTAATGTCAATAATTTTTATTTATTTAATAATGAGAGTAGAAAGAAAAATATTTAGAGCGTTTTATCTCAGAGAGAGAGAGAGAGAAAATTACCATTTTTTATAACTCCCACATACTACGACCTACTCGTTTGTTATTCTTTTAAAAAAAAAAAAAAACTTTTACCACAATTTGACAATATTTCTTTATTCCCCCTCCCCCCCTCCGCCCCACCTAACAGAGAATAAATTCACGGTTGTTTTATTAACGCTTAACTGTATTCGCGTAAACTAAAGTTTTAAAAAAAAAAAAAATTTTCACTTATTTACACCTTTTTTGTGACGTCAGCAATATCAAATATTAAAAATTTAGTTGTATATACCTACGCGAGAAAAATGGCGGTATCGAACAATTTAAAAAAAAAAAAAAAAACGTTACGTTTCTTATAAAATTACCACCTTTGTAAAAAAATGATTTCGGGTGTATTTTCCCCCCACCCCCACCCCACATACTTAATCGTGGTACGTTTGGTACAACAACCGGTTTCAGCACGTTTTAAATAAAATTTTATTTTTTCAGGTTTCAGGTTTTTTTTTCTGTATTCTGAAAAAAAAAAACAATTTCAAACGATGATTGTGTGTTAAAAACGTGTTTTGGGGGGTTTTGAACTTTTGTACGAAGAAAAACAAAACGTATTCGTGTACCATTAAAACATACCTGATTGCTCACGCTTTTATAATATAAATGTAAAAAAAAAATATATTCGTTCATTGTTTTTTAAGGTTAAATCATAAATTTTTAATTTTTTGTTTCTTTTTTCCAACAACAACAACAACAACAAATTGAATTAATTAAATATAAATTTATTCATATAAAAAAAAATCATTGTATGTATTTACACATGATATTTATATTAACTTTCCCTTTACCATTCCCTCCTTACGGGGGTAAGTTAACCCGATTGCCTCGATTTTTACTTTTTTCCTTTAAGTAATAAAATTTTGTCAGTTTCCGGTTTTGTAAATTCTCATTTTTCATTTTATAAATAATGATAATAAAATTATGTTTCTCGATAAATTCATTTTTTTTTTCCTTTATGTAAGTGCGTGTGCGTGTGTCTCAAAATAATTAACGTTTTATGTATTTAGAAATTGAGGATTTTACATGTTGGGTTTTTTTGTAAAACTTCTCTCTCACTCTCTCTTTTATCATTTTCTATACATCTCTCTCTTTTCTCGTTTTTTAATAAATTAAATCCTTCCTACTATTATTTACAATTTTCTCATGTTTTTTTTTTTTTTTTTGTCTTAAAGCCGCCATTTAAATGCCCTTTTCGTTAAACGAATCGAATCTAACCTTTTCAACTTAAAAATAGGAAAAAGTAATAAATAAATAATAATAATAATTGCTTTCTCCGCCAAAAAACCGTAAAACCATGCACGCAATCTTTTAAGCCGTGTTGAAGTAAAACTCGTATAAATGTCTATTATTTTGTACCTGGATACATTACGTAACGTAAAAATGGGAAAAGAAGATTCACGTTGATGTGATAATAATAATAATAATAATTTTTATTTCGATGTTTATATATATATATATATATCCGCGTTTATCAAATATAGATAGAAAGTTATGATCGATTGAAATAACTTCGTAACTCTTTAAACTCTTTTTTGATTTAAAAAAAAAAAATTTTTTTTTTTCTCTTTTTTTCTTTTCTACGTATTTTAAACGTAGACAATTATTATTATTATCAAAAAGAGAGAAAAAAAAATTTTTTTTTTTTTTTTTTTTAAAACCGCCAAAAATTTCTCTGAGAAAATTTTTTTAAAATGCTAATTACTTTAAAAAAAAAAAAAAGATTAATTATATACGCGCGTTTAATACACGAAAGTTTTTTTTTTTTTTTTTTTTAATAATCGTTTGGCGACGTTATGTAAATTTTTTTTTTTTTTTTAATATAAAATTCGTAAAACGTGTTTTGCCCCTCATTCAATCATTCAATCATTCATTCAGTCAGTCATTCACAATCCTTACGTAATAAATAATAATATATAAATAAATGATTTTCTACGAAAAAACAACAACAACAATTGCAATGTAAAACAAAACGAAACGAAATTTTTTTTTTTAAATAACTTATTCGTCAAGGTCAATTTATTTTGTTAAAATCCAAATAATGGTAATAAATAATAATAATAATAATAATAATAATAATAATAATAATAATAATAATAATAATAATAATAATAATAATGATAATAATGATAATGATAATAATAATGGTATTTATTGGGGGGAAAGTTTTAATTTAAACTATCACAAAGGATGTGTTACATTAAATTCAAGTAGCGAGAAATAAATATTTATGATGGTGAAAACAACAACTTGAAAAAATGATAATAATAATAATAATAATTTTTATTTATTTATCTTTCTCTCTCTCTCTCTTTGATTTGCAAGGTTGATTTCCTACAATACAT